TTCTGAAGTTTTTGAAGCAAAGTGGTCACAAAGAAGTGTGGCTCCCATTCTTGTCCTCAGGGTAGCAGTGGGCAGGCGTGAGTCCTCTCCCCAGAAATGCAAGAGTCCAGTCCTTAGAGTAAGTGTTGGGCTTCCTTCCACACACTGACTCCGAGGAGATAGAAGGAAAAGAACTTGGTCTCTCAACCTGTCAGCTGAGAGGAAATAGAAAACCCAGAATCCACACCAAACAAGCAGTGCAATAATTCTCCGCAGGCATCAGTATCCACTCCTCCCTTGCATACTACTACTGTCAGAGAGCTCACTACCAATTATTAAGGCAACCTCTTCCATGCTGTAGATCTTGGGGTGACTGTTATATAAAGTCCCTTTGTTGTGCATTACGAATTGGGCTGCTAATGTAAGGTCAGGAGTTCAAATCTACCAGCCGCTCCATGGAACACAAATGAGGCTTTCTGTTCCCACTAAGGTTTGTTGTTGTTGTTGTTAAGTACCACGGAGTCGGTTCCAACTCATAGCGACCCTGCACAGGGTTTCCGATGCTGTAAATCTTTACAGGAGCAGAAAGCCTCATCTTTCTCCCGTGGAACAGCTGGTAGTTTCGAACTGCTGACCTTGAGGTTAGCAGCCCGATTCGTAAAGATTTACAGCCTGGAAAACCCTTTGAGTCAGAAGCCACTCAATGGCACACAACCACCAACAACCATTAATGGGAGTTGTATCATACTCCCATCTTCAGATCTACTTCTGGTCCTTAGGGTCACAGCAGAGGGAGCACTGGCTAATATCTTCAAGTCAGCAGGACACTGAAGCAATCCAGCCTGTTTCTGCATGCTGGGAAGGCAGAAGAGAGGGCGACAAATGAATTCATCATACCAGTTTGAGGCACTCTGTGAAGGCAGTGAGCTGAGCCCTGAGCTGCTGCAGCAACTATGCAAAGTCGGGAGTCAGAGTGGCTCAGCCAACATCCCTAAGAATAATCCTGATCCTCTCTTTCTTCCTTCCATTCATCCATTCTTAGTTATTTATCACTGGCCAGGTGCTCCTGGGAGCACGGGTCATGGCACTGCGGGCCACACGGGCATCTCCTGCTCAGACTAGAGCCAGCTTTGTTATCAGGACAGCTGACACCGAGCACTTAGTTCACTCAATGCTGTGCACTGATCTAAGACTCTGCACCTGTGCACAGACAGGACATGGCCTCTCCTGCCTAGTCCAACTCTGGCTACATTATGGGGAGGCACAGGGGGATGAGGGTAGGAGAGATTGTGTGTGTGTGTGTGGCGGGGGGCTAGTTTTGAGTGCCGGGCACAGTGTTAGTTAGCATTCAACAAGTATGAACTGTTGCTATTAATTTTAAGTATTGTTAATGCACTGTGGGTTAATGCGCTGGACTGCAAAGTAGGAATTGAACCACAAGGTTGGAGGTTCAAGCTCACCAGCTGCTCCTTGGAAACCCTATACAGGGTCACTATGGGTCAGAACCAACTCAATGGCATTTAACACCACCAACAAAATTGATTCTAAGGACTCATGGTGTGACACTGTAGGAACAACACTGGACTGCAAACCACAAGGTCGGCAGTTCAAACCCACTAGCTTCTTGGCAATCCTATACAAGGTCGCTATGAGTCAGAACTGACTTGACAACACTTAACAACGTTAATTCTAAGGAGTTCTGACGTGGCACTTATGGTAAACACAGGACTGCTAACCTCAAGTTTGGCAGTTCAAACATACCAGCCACTCCTCAGAAACCCTGTTCAGGGTCACTATGAGTCAGAATCAACTCACTGGGTTTGGATTTTTGACTCACTCTAAAGGTGCTCTGGTGATGCTGTGGGCTGAGCATCGTGTGCTATGAGTCCGAATCAACTCGATGACAGTGAATTTTGTTTGTTCTTATTAACTGTAAATCTACAACAACCATAGGCAGTCCATACAACTGATCAGCCTAGTTTTCCAGATGAGGCACTTCATACTGAGAGGGGAAATGACTTGTCCAGGGCCACACAGTCACTGAGTCAGAGTGTGGATGTGAATTCAAGTCATCTGGTTCCTAAGCCTGCTTGGTTAACCCTTAACAAATGGTGGAAAGAACTCTGACCTGCAGTCAAAATGCCCACCTATCTAGAGGTACAAGGATAGGTAAGATAGTTGTTCAGAGGAATGGTATGCTAACATGTAGTTCGTTGGGTTTCTTAATATGAAAGAATTAAACACACAGTGATAGATTTAGCAATAAGGCAGTATTTTGCCTTAGTATACTTTACATGAATTCTGTGGCTCTGTTGGATAAGCACTGAACTGCTAACCACAAGGTTGGCGGTTTGAGCCCATCAGCTACTTCTATGGAAGAAAGATGAGGCTCTCTGCTCTCGTAAAGATTTACGGCCTCAGAAACCCTATGTTGTTATTGTTGTTGTTAGGTGCCATCGAGTCGGCATGGACTCATAGCAATCTTATGCACAGCAGAATGAAACAATGTCCGATCCTGGGCCAACCTCACTATCATTGCCACACTTGAGTCCATCAATGATGCCACCTGGCTGATCCATCTTGTTAGGGGTCTTCCTCTTTTTCTCTGACCCTCCCTCTTATCAAACATG